ACCACCACCACAATTGTTTAGAAATCCTGATGCCAGGTTTCCATCTCTCTTTGCAACTTATTTTTTTCATAATAAAGAAAGAAGCATTGAACCAAGTTCAAGTAATAGTACTGATGATATTAAACTATATTGATTTAATATGGTAATCCATCAAGAAATGTTCAGGCATTAGGTTTGTCCTCAATTATGTGTTTTCATTTTAATGAAAGGACAAAAGGTTATTGATCTGCCTGAAGTGCAAAATGAAAATGATCACTCTAACCTGAAAAATTACTTGTGCACATTTTATTTTTTATTTTAGCAAGAATGAATTTGAATGGTCTGACAATGTTAACTTCTTCCCAGATTCAAGAATTAGCAGCACAGCTATTTGATCTGTGGAACCTGATGGACACGCCTGAAGAGGAGAGGAATTTGTTTGAGCATGTTACCTGTAACATTTCAGCTTCTGTAGATGAGGTTACAATCCCTGGGGCCCTTGCTCTTGATCTGATTGAACAGGTGAGAAATAATCACCAGTTGATAAGTTCTCTGAGCAGTAACTTTGAGTGTGGGAAGCTAGCGTATCTCATTTTCTTATTTCTGTTGTGAAGGCTGAGGTGGAAGTTGAAAGACTTGATCAGTTAAAAGCAAGCAGGATGAAGGAGATAGCTCTTAAAAGACAAGCTGAGCTTGAAGAGATATATGCTCATGCTCACATAGAAATAGATTCCGTGGCAGCTCAAGAAAAAATAATGGCCTTGATTGATTCTGGGAATTTTGAGCCCTCTGAATTGCTCGCTGACATGGATAATCAGATTGCAAAAGCAAAAGAAGAGGCCATCAGTAGAAAAGAGATACTGGACAAAGTTGAAAAGTGGATGTCAGCTTGTGAAGAAGAGAGTTGGCTTGAAGACTACAATCGGGTAACTTTGATATCTCTCTCTCTCTCTCTCTCTCTCTCTCCAATGATATTATGCTTACTGAAAAACGGACTTAGTTCTTTTAGGTACTTATATCCAAATTAAATAGGACCTGATCTATATGTAGCTAATCTGAACCCATTATGATAATGTGGATGTCCAAACCTAGGTAATCTCATAGTAAAAAAAAGTCTGGATTCTCTGGATTCCTTATTTGGGGTTTCTTTTCCTGTTGCATCTTGCTTGTTGAGTGCTAGGTGCCAACAGCTTTTTTTTTCCTGATTTCAGCTTGAAGCATCATTGGGATGCTACAAGAAGTAAACAAGAGTGCCTTGCCTTAACCGGGGAGGGATTTGTTTTCTATACGGTATCTTGCCTGAAAAGTCAGAGGTTCCTATTCCATAAAAAAGCCTTATACTCTATTTTTATTTAATAAAAGAAAAGTTATTCTGCATGGTTGCAATGTTTTTTTTCTTCAAATCTTATTCTTACTTTATTTTAGAGGAACAATTATTCTGTCTTGCAGGGGTTCCACCCCATTGTTTCCTTGCTGTTTGGTGCCTATACTGCATTTGAAACAGGGTAGTTAGATTATCAATATCCTTTCTTTAAGAAGGAATCTATGATCAAAGAAAAGTACAGATCTTCTTGTGTCCTTTACTTGGAGGAAAAAAAATCCTTGCTCCCCCTAGAAAACAGTAAAGAACCCTTGCAAGATTATCAACAATCAAATTAGCATACATTGGAACACACTAGAAAAGAAGTTCAATCTGGATCCAATAATCTTGCATCTTTTATACTATGGACATTATCCATGGGGCCATAGGAAAAGTCCCTAATTATAAAAAAACGTTCACATGATTTGCTGAGAACGAAGCTGCATTTCTGCAAATCATCATTATAGCCTTCTGCATCATGGTTTTTTTCTTCACCTGTCCCTATTAGTAAGCAGAAGGAAAGGTTTACCTTTATTAGAAATAAGAACAGCAATATAGAAAACAAAGTAACAATCAACAAGCTTTCTGATTGTACTCTTGCATACTTCCTTTCCTGTCACATTCTGTGGTTGCAGTTAGGATGTGAGTTTTCTAATGTGGGCTTTCTATAAACAGGATGAGAATAGGTACAATGCTAGCAGAGGTGCACACATAAATCTTAAGCGTGCAGAAAAAGCTCGCATTTTGGTCAATAAAATTCCAGGTATATTCAGAACTAGCTTACCTTAAGCTGATAAAAAACAAAGGTACCATATTGTCATGTATTTCCCATTTGCAGTCTCCACAAGGAAATGCTGGTAGTGTTTCATATACAGATTCAGAATGCTTGCTTACATCGCTGATATTTTAGATGGATTGAAGGATGAATAAATGCTTTGGTGTTCATGCATGCCTGTATGAATATAATGGTATGCATGGACTCCCAAAAACAGATATTATCCAACTTACAGTTTGCTAATTGTGTATCATTTGTGGACCTCTTCAAGACACTCCTATTTGATATATCTTCAACAGGGGATTTTGTAGGACAAGAGTGCTCTGGACCTCCAACATCCAAAGTCAATAGAGGAATAGGAATTCTACTTTCAGTTATGATTAGATCCTTTTTTGTCTCTTTCCCTTTGTTTTACACATGTCCATGTAAGGTGGTGTGGTTAATATAATACTGTCTAATGATGCACGATCCGGTCAGTCCTAGCTGCCGGTAACCTTGCCTCTGACGGAGTGGGAGATGCCTGAAACAGGGAGGAAACAAGAGATCCCCGGGGGAGGAACTCGGCGGGAATGCTCCGACGCTCAAGTTAGCACTCTGAGAAGGCAAGGAAGATGAGAGATTCTCTTAGACCAGAAGGCGCAAAGTATCACTTGCCTTTACTCTGGGGGAAGAGGGCCTTTTATAACCGCCTTGGTGCACTCA